TCACTGCAAGCGACGTGTGGCTCATATGCTAGTTTGATAACCAATAAAAGTCACAGGAATAGATGGTTTGCACGCGTGGACAAGATAAGTCGTGACTTGTCATTGCTGATCGTTGCGAGATCCGTTAAAAGTACATTGCAGGGACGGCAGATAGGCAAGAGCAAAAGCAAAAGCAAAAGCAAAAGCAGGACACGCAGGGCTGTCCTGAAAGGTTCGGTCCACACTCTTTCTCTCATATTGAGAGAGAATCTTTGACCATGGACCAAGCTTTGAGAACGACTTTGGTACCAGGCCTGACTGCGTCGACTGCAGCTGCCACGGGAGCCGCGAGTCCGGAAGGTTTGGGCGCAGAAGCTCGAGGCAAGAGCCGTGCTGTCAACCTTCCGACGTTCCATGAAGAGAAGGGTTGGAGATGAAAAGAGCCCAACGTGTGCGCCGAGGATGAAGTGGCCGTTGTGGGATTCGTGCGCTCATGGTGCTGTTGCAGAAAGCCCGCTTTGGAAGCGAGTTGAGAAAAGCATGAACGCAGGTTGGAGACGGTGATGCGCGCTGGATCGGCGATCAGAGTCTCTGCTATCCATGAACGCAAGTCGGCCCCAGTAAAGGCGAAAAGCAGCATGGTTGCTATCAAGCCCACAAGCAGGAGCACCAGGATGAATTTGATGAAAGGCTGCAGGGAGAGAGCCTTTGCGACCTGTTTGCGTAGCGTGACGAGAGCGCTCTTGTCAGTCAAGGCAGTTCGTACTCTGACATGCCGTACAGATTCCATTCGATTTGATTTCTCACCTGCATCTCAAAGATTTTCTTCTGGTAGTGTTTCAGCGTGCCCTTGTTATTGCGCTCCTGCTCTTCTCTAAGCTTGGCCAACTCTTTGATCTCCGCTTCCGACGAGGTGCGTGTCTTGTACGCCTGCGTGATACCGAGCGAAGAGGCCCACGATGATAGGCTCGGAGCAGCGCTCGCCAGGATGGAAGACGAGCGAAGTGTGGATGATGCCGAGCTGGATCGACGATGTGAAGAGGACTTTTCTCGACCTGTGGACATAGACTTTGTGGGAACGGCCAGATATCTGCCCTCCTCGGAAGCCGATCGTCTAGGCTGAAAGAATTTGGGCCTCGTGCTCAGAAAGGAAAAGGAACTTCTTCGAGATGGCGCCGATGACGCTAGGGAGGAAGCCTTTGCGCTCTTGGGTCTATCGGGAAAGGTCAAGGTGTCGACGATGAGGAATGCGAGGAAAAAGCTCAGCGCATTGAGGCTGAAGGCGGCGTGCGCCATCAGCGATCGAGG